GGGCGCCCACCTTCATGGCTGCCCGCTGCCGCTTCCCGTCACTGCTTCGAGCCGATGGTGTCCTGCGGCTGCCGTACACCGACGATGTCTCGCCATGTCCCTCCCTCCCTCCTTCGTCGGTCTCCCGCTTCTCCCACCTTCGTCCCCTTCCCCTCGCTGCTCCCCGCCTTCGTTGCCCACTTCTTGGTCGTCCCTCGTACCGTATCTCCCTCCCTCCTTCGTGACGTAAAGATTCGAATGGCGAGGGGGCGCGACTCCGGGTTAACTGCCGTCCCCCTTCTCCGAAATGTTTTTTGGGGGAAGGGCCTGCCGAATTCGAAATTTTGAATTCAGCAGGCCCTTCCCCCAAAAAAACTTGCGGAGGCGGGGCGCGGCCGGTTTCCTGACTCGCGCGCCCCGGCCGTCATTTTTGCCGGGGTGGGGGCCTGCCTTCCGAACGAAAACAATTTTTTTTTTTCTTCCCATACCCCTATGTTTTGCTGTTCGGGGCGCCGCTGTGCGCTGTGCGGTGCGCGGCGGTACGTGCGCAACTTGTGCACAAACCGGCGCACCGTCGTGCGCCGCAACTATGATCAAGACTAATCAGCTACCTAGTCCCCGCACACGTGTCAGATCAGGTTGTCCTGATTCACGTGCGTAGCTCCGATACCAACTGTTACATGCCCAGTTGGTCGATGTACATAATAACCGAGGATCCGCAATGTGATAAAAAGGACTGAATGGACAGTGCAGTGCAAGTGAAATCTCAACAAGCAGTGTACATTCTGATACATACAAAAATGGTGCTTTATATCGCAGGGAAGACTTAGATACAAGTCCTGACCTGACCGAACGCAGACTAAACATACATCATTCTCATCACAAGGTGTGAAGAGATAGGAAGAAGGCGCCAGGCCCTGATCATGCACAGACGAAGAGGAGGGGAACCGACGAAGAAGAGGGGGAGAGATGGGAATGTCGTCAACACCAAGTCTTTGTCAAAATTCCCAAATAATCCCTCGCCAAACTGTCTGAAGCCCAAATGTCGAGTCTGGATCCAAAGGTCACCTAGCTCTCTCTTTCTCTCGTAGTCTGCTGATGCAGTGAAGTCAGGTGGCTAGAGGGTGAGAGGGAGATGGTGGACTGAGAAGAGGAAGAAGAAGAACTCTCTCTCTCTCTCTCTCTCTCATATGTGTTACATGCTGCGCCTGCAACAGGCTGCACGGGCCATTTTCAGGCACGTGTCGTTTTCAGCCTGAAAGCCTGAACACGAGGGCCTACAGGCCCTGTGTCGTTTTCAGCCTAAAAGCCTGAAAACAAGGGTCTACAGGCCCTGTGTCGTTTCAGCCTGAAAGCCTGAAAACAAGGGCCTACAGGCCCTGTGTCGTTTCAGGCTGAATCAGGGTCTTTCCGGCCATGAGTATTTTCAGCCTGAAACTGAGGGCCATTTTCAGGCCCTCATCAGATCGACCTGCCCTGAAACTCAGGCACCAGACCAGGGGTTTAGCTCAGGCCATTTTTGGCCTATTTTCAAGACAACCTTTGTTTGAGCTTCAACCCCAGGGTCTGGCACGTTTTGGCATTGGCAAGAGCAGCCTCCTGGACGGGCCAGCACTATATAAGACTGGCCCGCCCTGCAGGCTGCAGGTAGTTGGGAAGTAGTTCCTAGGTACTTCCCAGGCACTTCACGTGCAGGCAGGAGGCAGTCAGTAGTCTTCAGGATTTGGCAGCAGCACTCTGGAGGAGCGCTGCAGGAGTAGTTGTAGCGTTAGCAGTAGTCTTCAGCGCTGGGCGCTAGTAGCGTTAGTTGTAGTCTTCAGCGCTGGGCGCCATAGCTAGAGTAGCACTAGAGAGAGAGAGATTGGGCGGAGGCCAGGGATGCTTACCTGCAGCGCCGTTGCTCCAGCTTCATCTTCGAGGTACCTGCAACACAGCGCCATCTTCACAGGTTAGTACCTGGCATACAAGAGAGAGAGAGAGTTCTTCTTCTTCCTGTTCTCAGTCCACCATCTCCTTCTCACCC